CCACCATGCCCAGCTAATTTTTTGTATTTTTAGTAGAGACGGGGTTTCACCATGTTGACCAGGATGGTCTCGATCTCTTGACCTCGTGATCCACCCACCTCAGCCTCCCAAAGTGCTGGGATTACAGGCTTGAGCCACCGTGCCCGGCCATACTGTATATTTTTGTTTCTACCGGAATGTAAGCTTGAATGGCTATTCATTTTGTTCACTCGTCTCTCTAGCATCTAAGACATGCTTGGTACATGGCAAGCATTTGATAAATTTATTAGATGAATAAGAATATTGAGGCCCAGAAAGATGAAGTTACTTGCCTAAGATAACACAGGTATAAACAACAAAGCTGAAATTTATTTTCTTTTCTTATTTTTTCCAGTAATGGCTATAAACAAAAAGCTGAAATTTAAACCAAAACTGCCTTACTTCAGAATCTAAGCTCTTAAGCCTGAGAGATGGGCTCCATTACTGAGTAGGGCTCAGTACACTGGTACAGAGGTGCAGTGAACCTGACAGCTTCCTCCAACTTTTGTTTTGTTAAGAGATGGGGTCTTGCTATGTTGCCCAGGCTGGCCTCAAACTCCTAGGCTCAAGCAATCCTCTCTCATCTCAGCCTCCTGAGTAGTTGGGACTACAGGTGTATGCAACTGCACCCTGCTCGCCCCCTCCACCTTCTGCCTGTGATGGAACTAGGTGTTCCAGGGTTGGGGTCTGGCCTCAGCATCTTGGCCAATCAGTCATGCCCAAGGCTCTACTAGGGGCAAGGCCAGTGTGCTGTTGCCCCCCAGTGGCTAGGGTGGGGAAGAACAGGCTAAAAGCTGCCTTGATGCTAAAGAAGGGGAGGGACCTGGTTGGTTCTTGGCTCTCAGTCTCTCTCCTCACAGAAGACACAATGCTGGCGTGGGCATTAAGAAATCTTTATTTTACCAGAAGGGACAGGCAGTGGGGCAGTGCAACATCCAAGCCCCAGACCAGACATGCAGCATCCACATGCAGGAAGAGCTACACAGGCTGGGGCAGGGCCAGGGTGGGGAGCCGGGACCACTGGACACCCACAGCACCCCTGCCAGGACGCTTGTGTCCTGGGCTCTTCTGCCTCCATTGGAGCAAGGAGGCAGAGGATTGGGCTGCTTCCTTATGACTGGAATCCTATCACTCTGGCCAGGAAGAAAGATAGCACAAGGGCTCTGGGGTCTGGCCAGGCTATAGCCCTCGATTCTGTACAGGGTTGGCACAGCCTTGCCCACTGGAAGGGCCCAAAACCCAGGACACTGCAGCCCTAGCAGGAAGGTCTACATACTTTTCTGTCCCCAACAGGGCTAGACTCTGATCTCAGAAAACTTAGCAGAGTTGGGACCAAGCCCCACTGCCCCAGCAGGAACATGCCCATGAAGAGTCCTTCCCTGAGCACAAGCAGGGGCCTCCTAAGGCAGTAGGAAAGAATACAGGGTATGAGTGCCAGCCGGGGCCTGGGGCAGATGAGGGGAAGGACAGTGGTTCTGGACCCTATAGGCCATGGCTGCCCAGGCCTAGAGGGGCATCAGCAGCTGAGGTTGTGGGCTTCCTGGGGCAGGGTTTAGGGCTGGGAAGATAAGTCCAGGAGAGGGGACAGTGACCGTCCTACCCAGAACCCCTGCCCATGCTGAGTTCTGGCCAGGGCCCTAGGGAGGACGGACAGATACACAGAGAACTTCAAGGCACCAGGATTCTGAGGAGCAGCGGGGCCACCCCCCATAGACAGAGAGTGATTGTAATAAACATCTTCAGCTTATACTACATGTTGTGCATGGGGGGAGAGAAAAAGACAAAGGAAGACACAGGGAGATGAGAGACAAACCCGATGAAAGTGGCAGTGAACGTGGGGTAAAGGAGAGGAAGAGGTGGACAGAGACAGGAGAGATGGGAAGGCAGCCAGAGATGGCCTGAACACACAGCACTTCTGGTCCCTTCAAGATAAGGCACCAGTCAGTAACATTCCCGTTGTTCCTGTGGGATTAAAACGGGTGCTGGAGGGAGGGCCGGGTGGCTGCCGAAGAGAGTGTGCCTGCAGGAGCCTCATACTTGGACACCGGTGGCCTTCTTGATCAGGGGTATCTGCAAGGATGGGAGATGCCATGAGGCTCAGAGCCTAGGACCACTCCGCCTGGGCCTGTCCGATGGGCTGCCCAGGCAACCCCACTGCTGCAGCTAGGCAGGCACACACCTTAGATAGGTCCACGCCCGTGAGGGCATGCACAGAGGCAGGCAGCTCGGCCAGCAGTCGGTTCACTTCTGATGTCACCTTGCTGTTGTCCCCACTGAGGACCACAATCTCATCGACTTTGGTAAGTGGAGCGGCAATTTTGGCAGCAATCTAGGAGGTAAGAGTGGGAGGCGAGACTGGTTGGCGCTGACTCCGTTCCCAGCCCAGTCCAGCATCTCTCCCTCCCTTCCTCAGCTCACTCCAACCCCAAAGCAGCCTGGCCGGCCCTTAGTCTAGCATGGTAAGAGAGGCTGTGTGGGCCAGGGATGGCTTAGGCCTGTTGTAGGGTTCCTGCCCCCTGCTTAGGACACTTCTCTTTAACCCTTCTAGCCACCTGTCCCTGTGTCACTTGCAAAGCCCAGGGAAGTTCTGGAACTCGCCCAGCTAGTCAAGCAAGGACACTTGAACCCTGGGACCCACCTGAGTGGAAGCCTCACCTGGGGCAGGGCCTCCAGCACCAAGGCCATCTTGGCTGCATCCCCGTATTTCTGGTAGGCTTCTGCCTTGAGCTTCATCCGCTCAGCCTCCGCCTTGCCCATCGCCTCGATGACTGCTGCCTCCGCCTCCCCGATTTTGCGGATCTTCTCAGCCTCTGCCTGTGCCAAGAGGACCTGCTTCACCCTGGGGGAGACCAGGCCGGGCAGTATCAGTGGGATGCACCAGGGTCCCCTTAAATCTTGCCTGGGGGCCAGCAAACCTGCAAACCCTCTGCTCTGGTGCTGTCAGGGGTGGGAGACATTTGAAGGGTAGGGGTGGCCTGGCCTTCTGGCTCTGGCCAGGGAGAGGCCACCAGCTCCCAGCTGTATGTGGGAGGGGAAAAACCAGGATGCCTTCTATTCCCATGCACTACACCAGGCACTGACGCCTCCTTTATCTAGGACCCCCACAGGGAATGTGGGGTTATTCTCACTTCACAGTGAGCGAGCAGACATAGTGGAGGTGGAAGTGGCTTCCAAGCTGTGGTCAGGAGAGTAGAGGGCAGAGGAGCCTGACTTAGCCCCGATCCCGGCACCTGGGCGGCTCTCACTTTTCACCCTCGGCGATCTGCTGGATCCGGTGGGCCTCGGCCTCGGCAGGCCGGCGCACCGTAGCGATGAGCTCCTTGTCCGTGCGCAGGATCTCCTGCGCCTCCACGTCAATCTGCTTCTTGCGCTGCACAACCTCAATCTCAATCTCTTCCTGCCGGATCTTCTGCTGCTCACGGGCCCCCTGCAGCTCGTAGGCCAACTGAGCTTCGGCTGTCTGTGGCAAGAAGGTGACTGGCACATTAGAAGCTGGTCACCAAGTCCTGATCCCTGAGCCCCAACCCAGGATGCTCTCAGGCTGCTCACCTTGATGTTAACCTCCTCACTGAAGGCCGACTTTTGCAGCTCAAAGGCTCGCTTAGAGTCAGCAATCTTGGTGTCTGCCATGAACTTTACATCCAGCATCTCCTTCTTGCACTCAGCTTCCTGGGGGCAGAAGGGGCAAGTGAGTAGAGTTTCCCTGTGAACATGATCCTATCACCCCTGAGCTTCCCATCCTTGAACCCACGGACCCGGATGCCTGCGTCCCGTTCAGCCTCGGCCACACCAATGTCAGCATCTCTCTGTACCACAGCAGTCTGTGTCTTGCCCAGGGAGCTCAGATAGTCCACTTTATCATACACGTCCTGGGGAGGAAAAAGGGTATCATAAGCTGAAAGGAGCAGCCAGAGGCACAAAGGTGCTCCTCTAGCCAAGCCACCTTCTCCTAGATGAACACTAGGAGATACAGCTTCCCATCACACTGTACCTTGATGGTGAAGCTGAGGATCTCAATGCCCATGCGGCCAACGTCAGGGGCAGCCACCTCCCTCACCAGCTTGGCAAACTGGTCCCGGTCTTGATAAATCTGCTCCACTGTCAGAGTCCCTGGGGGCAGAGGGATCAGGGGCTGGTTTCCCAGGGACCCAGCCAGCTGGGGAAGGGAGGAGGCATTCGTGGAGAGGTTGGGTGCATGCAGGGGTGCTGCAGTCTGAGTTGGGTCTTTCTGGAGTATCTCCTCAACAGCATTTAACATTGAGCCTCCTGCTGCAGAGTCCAGGCTGGACGAGAAGTGTCCCAAGCAGCACCAGGTTCCTGAGTAGACTGACAGCCCCCCAGGCCCATCCCACCCCAATGCCCTCTCCACTCAAGTCACCTGAAGTTTTAAAATTAAATACTTGAGGAAAAATGTTTTACCTTGAAACCCCAGTGAAAGAGGCCCCCTGCCCAGACCTGCACCCCTCCCTGCCCTGGCTTACGAACCCCATGAAGCTCCTCAAAGGCTGGATAGGGCCTCACCGAGGATGGAGCGCAGATGTCCCTCCAGGGTCTGCAGGACGACGTTTTTGATGTCCTGCACATTCTTACCCAGAAACTGCTCACAAGCCACAGCCAGGAGTTCCTTCTCTGTCATGATCTTCACCTGCCAGTGATGACAGAGGCGTTTCAGTCAGGCAGGAGTGAGGCAGACGGAGGCCCCAGACCCAGAAGTAGGCAGGGTGGTGGCTGTACCCCCTTCCCTCCTTTTTTCAGACCTGGAGGCCCTGGGGGCTGGAATCTGTCTGAGGCCTCTAGTGGGGAGACAGCAGCACAAGGGCTTCCTAATACTGAGAAACTTCACTGCATTGGCAGCCCCAGGCCCTGCCACGGCCTCTCCTGGGCATTCGGGGCTTGTCTCCCCACCCCTCCAGCTCACTGTCCCCTCACCAGCCAATTCTTCCTTTGCAGACTTCCAACACATGGGAGACCCTCAGGCTGAGGGGCAGAGAGTATGACAAGGAGAATGAGCAATAGGGACACAGACAGAGAAGGAAAGAGCCTAGTCAGGGCAGGAGAGGGTCGGGGGATGTGACCAAGGGTGCTTCTCCTTTTTGAGGTACTCAGCCAACCCCTCGCTGAGGCCTACAGCATGGCTGAACCTTGCTGCCCTGTGAAGCTGAGAGGTGGATCAGGGTAGGAAGCCCCCACCCAGTCCCCCAGCTGGGAATATGACACAGCCTCCAACTCCCAGAGTCCAGAGCTCCTCTGCCTCACATGGCCTCTCTCTGGGCCCCACCCCACCCACCCCGTACCCAGGGAACAAGGAAGGCCTGGATTCTGGGGCTTGGCATTTCCAACACCTGCAAAGAATGAGGGTGGGGTTAGTGAGCCAGGAGCCCTCAGCACTGGTTCTGTCCTTCACGGGCCCGCTGAGGAAAGAAGGGGTGTCTGTTAGTCCTGCTGGGTGGCCAAAAGGGCCGGGTGAGCAAGTTCCAGTGGCAATGACCTGACTCGCCCTCTCTTGTGGGACTTGCGGGGCTGGGACGCTGGAGAGAGACTGCCCCTGGCTGCCGTCCTCTCCTCCTCCCCCCGAACCCGAGTACGGGACCAGGCAGCTCAATGGACATGCGCAGGGCTGCTGAGTTACTATACCTGGGCGACACCCGTCACAGTTAAAGCTACCCCCTCGGCCGTCTCTACGTCCTCGCAGCGGGGCTGCAACGTCATAATCTCTAGGGAAATCCTGCCAAGAAATGCAAAACAGGGGCATGGGTCTGGGGGCCCAGGGCCTGGCAGTGTTGGGAAAGTCTAGTACCTCACGGCTCCAGCTGGGTCCTGGTGAAAAGGGTGGAGGGAGGACTCTCCAAGGGGCTGTAGATGCGAGTGTCTGAGAAGGAGGCGGGCTGGGGGAGGGAGCGTGGGTGCAGGTGGCCCCAGGAGGAGTAGAAGCGGGCTGTGTATGTGCATACACCCTCTGCTCAAGTCAGCCTGGCTGGAATAGTGAGAAAAACTAAGTGGAAAGAAGTGGCCGTGGGTGGTCCGGGCTGTTGGCAGGGAGAATCCAGGTGTAGCTGTGTGTATGTTCTAGGATAGCAAGTCAGTGCTGGTCCTCCCGGCCCTGCAGGCTAGCGTGGATGCCATCTGAGCCTCCCACAGGGGCCCTGACCCATTCCTTGGTCTACTCAGCACCCCAGGGTGCCCCAGGAAGCTGCCTGGAAAGCTCTGCCTGATTGCCTGGCATCCTGGGAGTATGCCCACTGCCGGGTCAAGATGGAAGTGATCCTGTACCTGCCCCTTGCCAGGGAAGACCTACCTGGTCCCTCCACCTGGCTGTAGTCTTTGACTTGAAACCCACCTCTGGTATTAGGCCCAGGTGGGTCACATGGGGAACGTAGACTGAGGTCCCATTAGAGCCTCTTGGCCAAGGAGTGTTAACCCTGGACAGAGTTGTTCTGGCCAGGCAATCTGATTCCTCCAGGGTCCACAGTCACCCAGCTTAAAAGGAATCTGGGCATTTGCAGATGTTCAAGTATAGGAGTGGGTTTGGCGGGGGACAGGACTGCACCAAATGGAGTAATGAGGGAGGCCTGGACCCTACCCCTTCCACATAAGGTGCTCTGAGCCTCTCAGGCCTCTGCACCTCCCATGGCTACAAGGGCTAATGAGATGGGGATGGTTCCCTTCCCCATTGGAGATGGCAGGATGGGTGAAGAAGGGAGTGGTGATGCAATATTTTTGCCTAAGCAGGCTGATGGGCAATTTAATGCAGAGGGAGGGGATGAGGAAGATGCTGTTCAGCCCTCTTCCAGCCTGGGAACCAGCTGGCACACGGACTCTGAGGGGGCAGGAGCTTTTTGATGTTCACTCCTGCAGTCCACGTGACTTGAACTGAGAAGGTGCTCAGTAGAGAGCTGGTGAATGAAGCAATGAAGAGGGGAACCCACATATGACAGAGTAAACATTTGGAGCTACTTAACACCCAAGTCCAAGAATAGATTTCACCAGCTATGGCTGCATGGTAATGAAGGCTTGGCATCCTGGGACACTCGCTGGCAGACTTGGCAGAGCTTCCAGAATCCCTTACTCTTTCCCCGCTTGCAGTCCGATAGGCAAGGGCAAGGGACCTGGGGATCTACTGGGATCCATCCTGGCACCCAGGGCAACGGAGGAGAGAAAAGAGGAGAGGGAGAAAGGCACATTCTTAGGAGGGGAGTTCATCGGCTCCTGTCTGCCAGGCCCCGCAGGGCAGGAAGAGAGAAGGTTAGACATGGAGGAGGAAGCAGGTGGGTTATTACCTGTGCAACCCCTGTTACGAATAGTGGAACCCCCTCCGACGTCTCAATATTCTCACAGCGACACAGGATGGTCATAACCTCCAGAGACAGTCTGAGGAGCAGCCAGGGGTTGGGGAGAGGTAGGGACAGGAAGGGGAGGAGGGGACACAGCAAACACACACAGTAGTTACCAGATAAGCACTGATGCCTGACGCCTGGGGGGTGGACATGCTGTCAGTAATCCAACCCCCAACTGCAGCTCAGCTGAGGGCTGCAGGAGAGCAGAAACCTCCATGCTGGCCTGAGGCCTCTAGGTCTCTTCTCTAGTCCCCAAACCCTTCCAGTGAGGAGCTGCTGGGCTGGGGAAGATGCCTGCTGCCAACCTGGGCCTGCGGCATGAGGTTGGGAGGCTTACGCACAGGGCACCCAGGTTGCCTGCCACCTCACTTTCCCAGGGATCCTCTCACAACGTGGGGGACTGAGCCTTAGCCCCCACCGTCTTCACACAGGTAAACCTGTGTTTCCAGAAATTGGGAATGGGAGGCTATTCTGGGGACTCCTGAGCTTTAGCAAACACTGAATCCACCAGGTCTGCACTATCTATCACTAAGAAGGCAAGGCCAGGCCAGAAAAGCCGAAAGAAAAATTGGATGTTCTGATGTGGGAGTCAAGGAAGCCTGGGGGAGAAAGTGTGCTCCTGCTGGAAAACTCAGGGACAACCGGGAGATAAAGGAGACATTTAATTGGGAATTTCCAAAGTTGGCCAGGGGCAGAGAGAAGATTATTGGCAAAGAAATCAAGGTGCCTCAAAGCTCCCTGGCTTATTCTGGCTGGGCCTCCCTAGGCAGTGTGTGTAGGGTGGCTGTCTAGGCAGAGGCCAGGCTGTGGACAGTGTGGAAAGTTTCCCTAAATCAGAGGAAGGAAGAGAGGACAGAGGCCAAGGGTGAAGGGGCAGAAGCAGGTGGAGGGGGTGAGGAGGAACAGCAGGTGATGCGCAGCCCCCATCTCAACCCTGGGAGGGCCATCCTCAGTGCTAGCCCCGGGGCTCTGGCCATGCAGACATGCAAAGGTTGCCTTCATTCGAGCCTCTAACACTAGCATCCTTGGGCCTGAGAGGACTCTTGACCTGGCTCAGACAGGAACCTACCAAGCTCTCTTCTGGGGAAGGAGAACGGGAAATAGGGAGAGGGAGGGATGAAGGGTAGTAGGGAGGGAAGAAGGGTGGCTGCAGTTCAGATGCCAAGGGTGGAGAATTGCTCAGGTAAGGAAGAGAGAGCTGCCCACATCAGGGCCTTGGGATAGTATAGGATGTAGCAGCAAAGTGCAGCAGGACGGGTCACTGAGCCTGTAAGAATGGCTGACCCCAAGGCACGTGACAGCTGCAGAAAGGACCTCTAGAGGGAGGCTGAGTATCCAGGCTATTAGAAGCCTCTACTCTGACCTGAGAGGCTCCTGAAAGCCTAGGGACATAAAGGCCCCAGCCTATGGAGATGTCCCCCAAGCAGGTTGGGGACTGGGGAAGGAACTGACCCCCAGAAAAGGGGATAAGAGGGGAAGGACTACTGGCTCAGACTACCCAGTCAGTGGGACCACAGGGCGGATGTGGAGCCTGGGTGTGAGGTCAGTGTCCTGGGAAAAGATACAAGGTCCCTTACCTCTAACTTCCAAACCTGCTGTCAGAAAGGCTCAGCCCTTCTGTCCTGGTTCTGCTCCCTGGAGCAAGAAGGGAGAGCAGAGGACCAAGAATATGGAGAAAGGTCTGCAGGGGACTTGCCCTAGCAGTGGCTGCCCACGCAAGACAGGTGGGCCTGGCTGCAGGTCGAGGCATCTAGACAAGATACTCTGTTGTGCTGGGACTGCACAGTGTGTAGGGTGATGGTGTGTCTGGAGAGGGCTCCCCATGGCTTCTGACAAGCCACTGGCCCACTCAGGTGTGGCCAGGATCCTCTTGAGTGGAGGCTATGGCCACTATTGATTACTCTATCTGAGCCCTGGATATTACTCACCTCCGGCCGGGTAAAGTAGGGGGAGAGGTGGGAGAGTGGAGCAGTTACTGGGAACCAGTGAAGTTAATCCGTTGTGCCATGCTTCCCATTCCCCCAACCCTAGCAGATGTCCTCAGGCTTCCAGGAGCCTCAAGCGCTGGCAGCTCAGTACAGACGTGAGCTGCTGATGTGTGGGGGCTAGGCAGAGGGGGTTTCCACTGGAATCTCCATGATTTCCCCTGTGGGTTGACTGACCCCCTTGCAACATGCCCACAGCTCTGCTGCCCTTGTTGCCTGGGTCCTGGATGGGAAGGGTCTGCTACTCCCCTCCACCTCCCATAATCAGGAAGTGGGTGATCCTGGAAAGGTAGCTGGCATGCCTCATCTGCTGGGTGGGAGATGAGGTGGCAGGGGAGGCCAGGTCTGGCCCTGCCCTGGGCTCTGCAGGCAGCAGCAGGTAGAGCTGAATGGTGGGCCCTCTGGGGAGCTAAAAACTCACTTCTTCTAGTAAGTCTTTCCAGACTGATTTAGGAGGTCTAGACCTGCCTTGCCCCAACCCCAGCACTAATTCGTTAGGTCCCCATCCCTGTCTCTAACTCATCACTGTCACAGAACCACTTCTGACTATATATCCATTCTCTGCCACGTAGTCCCTGCCTGGATTACCCCAGGGCCTACATAGGTAAGGGTGTGCATCGGGTCTCTCCTGGCTTTCGTCTCTTCATATGCCCATGCAAAACTGGGCACATAATAAAGACTTCTTAAATAACTTTGAGCTATGATTAGGAAATCAAGATTCTGCCTGGGCATGACCCTGAGTTCTCTGGGACAGAAGTAATGCTGCCTCCAGTGGAAAAAAGAACACCCACTAAGAAGGGGGCACCCATGACAGACTTTCCTGATACATGTCTCCGGCATCCCTGCCCAATCCATCTCACCTGCTTCTTAGAAGACCCCACCCACCAGAATGGAATGTGGAAATGGTAGAGGTTCTAGCTGACCCTTGGGGTAAAGCAGAAGAATGCTAAAAGTCCCTCTCTCCCTGGCCCACTCCATGACAGGATCTAGAGCCCCCAGGTGCTTACCTCTGAGTGTCGGAGATACACCACCAGGCCCAGGCCCAGCCGCCAAACACGTACTGTTTATAGTCGGAACCACAACAGCCCCCTGGGGAGCAAAGCAAACCACTGCAAGTCAGTTGGTTCTTGGGTCTGTCTGCTCCCTAGCCCACTGATAGCAACTTTTGTCCTTTACCTGCTCTGATACTTGACAATGCCTACTGTTGGGTGCCTGGTGCTGAGGTTACACACATGAGAGAGAAGTTCTCCCTGCCCTTACGGGACTTAAAATCTAGCTTGGTACACAGGCAAATTACGTAAAGAAAAGGACACCCAGTGAATAGTTCAGAATGTAAGTGCTTACAAAGAACAGAACAGAACAAGACAATGGGCAGAGGTGATCTGGAAAAGCTTCCCCTACTTTTTTTTTTTTT